GATTTCCTGCGACGAAAAAAATAGGGTACGTTTAGGGATAAAATATCTTACATGTTAGTCAGTCCGCTTTCTTCGGCGCTTGTTCATCATTAAAAAAATAGGTGAATTATTCTTAACAAAGTTATAGTTAATTAAGTAATGAATTGCCTTGAATAGAGAGATAACTGTAAATCAGCTGAGAAAATGTCTGTTAGAAGCTCTTTTTCTGAATCAGACGTAACGTACTATACAAAACTCGCACATTCCAAGCAATGACGGCATTTCATTTGCAAGTGGGTCACGCTTTGGTTTATTTTACTTACATATTAAAGCAATTTATTTTATTTCCTTTAACAAAGTTCCAAGGTCAGATTGCGAATTATTTTCAGATTATTTTCGCATACTTTTCATGACTCCTTTCAATATAATTATACTTATAATCGTGATCCCATCTTTAAAGAGCAATATTTTGTAACGCGCGTGTATAAATGTGTTGTTTCTTGTTTTTAAAGCGCATATGAAATATTACAAAATATTTTACACACATTATGGTTCTCAAGAAAACAGTCAAAATATTTTTATATTCAATTACAAGAACGAATTTCTGTTATATTATAACGAATCTCTGAAATTTATCAGATAAATGACAAATTAGATTAAGAATTACGAAACTCCAGACATTTTTTATTGTTTACGTATATGATGCTAAACCAAAACAAATTTTCATTAACGCTATTATTTCTTGAGCCTAATTTGAAAAAAGGTTCAGAACATTTTTATTGAAAATGAAGAATGAAATAAAAAAGGAAAAATAATTTTGAAGTGAGTAGACGTTTTCTTGCTTTGTATAAATATTAAAAGACTCCAAAGTGCTGGTAATGTTCCTCTTTTAATTGATTTACTTGAAATGAAATTATGAAGCGAAGTATGTGTGGAATATGAAATGCCGACCATGCCGACATATAACCAGAAACAGTTAACGTTGAATCATTGCGGGAGAATTAAAAACAGGAACTTTCACGTAGGTAAGTATCGGAAAAGTTTTGATGAAACTGTAATACTCCACGACGTGAGTCACTGCCCAATTATTTTCGTCATAAAGTCCGAAAATACAATCCGAAGGGCTGCACAGTAAGCAAGCAACATGAGCCTGGGGGCCTTGAGCCACTGCCAAAAATTGGGAAAACTTCACCTCTGCATACTTGAAGCCATACTAAATCAATTACCCACTAACTATATCAAATCAAGAAATCACCTTTATAATACGAGAAAATAATCCAACAACAATGCATTTCTCTATAATGCTTTCAACCCTCAAATAAACAACTTTCTTCTTCTTAAATATTTCTAAAAAATTACTAAGACAATTTTTGTTTAAAATTACTAAAAATGAAAAATATTGCAAATTACATATTTACTCATTTTATGAACTAATCTTTTAATATTTAGACCTCGGATTAATTTTAAGGCCCAAAAGTACTTTTTTTAAAGATTAAAAAAAAATTAAAAGATTAAAGATAAAAAAAGTGTAAATTTTTTTTTATTGTGTTGTCACAAAAATTTATTTTTTATTTTCCTGACATTTCACTGATTTCTAAGTTCAATTATTTAAAACTTTTACAGAGATCACAGTGATTTTCTCATGTAATATTAGATAAAAAAGAGGATTTTATTTTCCAAAAAAGGGATTCAGTTAAAAAAAAGGAATTTTTAAATTAAGTAAAAATTATTGTATTATATATCATGAAATTTATTTTAAACATTTTTTTTTACGTCTTCTGTTAAATTCAGCTTTTTTAAATCCAATTATTTTTTTTGTTAAACTTTTTCTGTTAATTTATTTATTTATTTATTTATTTACAATAATTTAATAATTGATATTTTTTTTATATTTTTCTGTAGTCCGTAACTTTCTTTAAATTTTCAATCAAAACGTTTATTGCAAACGCTACTTTTGTTTTAAAATTACAAGAATTTTCCGATATACAAAGTAAATTTCAGAAAAAAATTAGTAAAATTAATTTTCTGACTTGGAAAAATTTCCTTCAAAATTAGTAAAATTTAGTACAAATTAAACATTGTTATTTCCGGAATAACTTTTAATATTTTCAAAGACAATTTTTTTTATAAAAATTAGAAAACTTTCTTTCAAAAATAGTAAAATTTATACTCTAAAAATAAGAATATTTAATAGCTAATTTTAATGTTCGAGGAAAATTTAAATGATTTTCATAAAAAAATTGACATAGACATTGAAAATAGTAAATTTTGCTATTTAAAAATCGTTATATTTCAAGAGTAAATTTTATTGAAAATTAGTAAGATATACTTTGAATTTACTTAGTAAAATTTATTCTGGAAATAATTCAATTTGTCAAAAATTCCAAACAATTTGGATTTTTCTTAGAAGTAAAAGTTATTTTATATTTGTTACATTTTTGGAAAAAATTTCTAAGTTTAAATCCTCTGAGAAATAATATAAAAAGATTTTTAAGTTTCAAAATATTAACATTTTTTAAAAGTTTACAAACAGTAAAAATTTTTTCTTCAAGCATAACTAAAAATTTTTCTAACTTACAAATAATGACCATTTTTACAAGTTTTTTTTAAAATAAGAGGAAAAAGGGAGAAAATTTTATGATTTTAGGTGTTTTAGGGGATTTTATTAATTTAAAAGGATAATAAAAATGAAAAAAAGGGGACTAACTGTGATCCCTGCTTTTATAATTGAATTAAATTCAATTATTTTCTAGAATTTTTAACTTATATTCTTCTCTAAATTAACTATTTTCAATCATTTTCAGAAACTTCTTCAATAATTAATTTATTTAAAAACAAAAAAAATTTCATAAATTTTGCAAAAAAAAAATTCTAATAAAAATTAAAAACTTAAAATTACATTTAAAATCGTCATATAATTAATTTTTGTTGTGACGCAAAATTATTGTAATAAAAATTTAATTTTAAGAAGAAAATAAATAAATTTGGTTCACTTGAATCTTCAGAACTTTAGAATCATGAAGTTATTGAAAAAATATAACACAAAATATTAAAAATAAATTATTTTTGTAAGATAATAGATCTTTCAATTATTTTAATTGGAAAATTTGCAAATAATTCAAATTTAGGGAAATTTGTTGAAAATAATTGAAATTTTGTGAAAACTATTAATGGTAAATATTTCAAAAACAATCAAGTTTTTGACAAAATTTAATGAAAAATATGAAATGGAGAATTTCAAAATTAAAAATTTTTAATGATTTTTTTCTCAAAAATTTTAATGATAATTATAAAAAATTAGATTTTTTAAAACATTTCAATTCAATTATTTTTTATAGATTTTTGAATTTTCGGAAATATGTAATTGAAAATATTTGAAATAATTCAATTATTTTTAAAATATCACAGTTTTTTCAATTATAATATGTAATTGGAAAATTTCCAAGTAATTGAAATTTAGTAAACTTTTGAAAATAATTGAGTATTTTTTTTAAAGAATTTTCAAAAAAGATTAAAAAATAATTAAGTGCTTGGAGAACTTGAATTTAATTTTTTTATTTGATATAAATTGAATTTTGATTATAAAATTGATTGATTAACCATTTGTCTTCAAAATTGGGAAAAGTCCCTCTTCTGCATAATTACCAAATTTTTAATAAAAAATTTCGAAAATAATTATTTTCTCCAAAAATTTTAACAATTCTAAAAATTTAGATTTTAAAAAATATTTTATTGTAATTATTTTTATAAATATTTGAAATTTTCCGAAATAAGTATGTTTAAACTGAAAACATTTCAATATTTTCTTAATTGAGTAATAAAATAATTGGATTTAAAAAATTTATAATGAAAAAATTTAAAAAATAAACTTTTTAAAAAAAATGTTTTAATATAATTTTCCAAACCTGAGTTTCATTAATTTTTATTTTCAAGTCTTCATTAGAAGATTTTTCGCATTAAAATTTTTGAGATTTCAATTATTTTCAAAATTTGCAATCAAAATTTGTTTTTTATTAGTTTTACTGAAATACTTAAATAAAAATCAGTTATATTTAAATAAAATTTTACAAAATTGCTATTTTATAAAAACTATTTAATTCTACATTTCGAAATAAAATTTTAATTAAAAAAATTATTGAAAAATAGTTGTATTTTTTTACCAAAAAAGTGGTAAGTATTTTGTTGCAATATTTGGAAGAATACTTCTAAAAATCTACAAAGTTGCATTTTTTGAAAATAAGTCGAAAAAAATTGGAAAAAGTACAAAAAATTCTATCCGAGGTCTGAATATAAAAAAAGTTTTCTTATCAAAATAAAAAAATTAAAAGAAGTCACAAAAAAAATATTGTAGTTTATTCAAACGTTCGAATCTGAACATGTCGACAGAACATTAATTTTATTTTCAAATTGAAATTATTCAGCACTTTTCTCGAGAATTAATTTTAAAAAAGAATTCTAGAATTTTGATTCAAAGAAATTTTTTTAATTTTCAAAACGAACTTCTTCTCAAATAAATAAAAAAGAAAAGAAAAGGAAATTTAACTAGTCGACACTATTATGTAAAACAACGTCTATTTTTAAGAGGTGAATTTCAAGATTTAATTTCGAAACTCATTCGCAATTTAATGCGAGAAAGAAAGGAAATCTAAACAAACCGGAACACTAATCTATAATTAGTATAATGAATTAAAAAATACCTTTCGTTTCCCGAAGTCAAGGCGAACTGGTAGCACTTTTTTTTTTGAGGTTAGAATCTCGTCAGTTTTGCGAACATATTTCCGCAAAACTTATAAATCCAAAAATAAAATACGCTCACTAAACATATTAATTAAAAAGGAAAAACCTTTTTTTTCTCTCCACCCTAAATTTCTAAACACGTTGCACTCACAACACTGGTGCCAGGCATATAACCTCACAAAGCCTCTCGCACAGCTTTTTTTTGCAAACTTTTGCTGCAACGGGACCTCTCTTTTTTTCTAAGAAAATAAAAACCTTCCCTTTAGGGAAGAACTTTCACTCACTTTTTTTTGCTGTTTCTCCCAGGCCGGGTCCAGGAGACCCTCCCTTTCCCACTCTTCCTCGGGCTCCATGTATCCGTCCCCATAGGCCTCCATGTCGTTCATCCTTTCTCGTGTTCCTTTAAATTGATAAACTTCCTGGTCACTTGTAATACTTGTAATACTTGTATTTCGAAAAAATCAAAAAAAACTTCTCTCACTTTTGCAATTTTTTTCTTTTCTTTGTCAAAATATAATGAAAATTGAGAACTCGCGGTACAGCTTCTCACTGGACCCGCGCACTGATATAGTGCGAGAGTATTATAAGGAAAAGGAGATTTTTAAAAAAAAAAAAGGGGGAAAAGAAGTGTTTTCAGAGAAAGAGAGAGAGAGAGAGAGATGAGAAGGAGAAAACGATGGAGCGGTTTGAAAAGCGTGTATAACGTACCCGCCAAGCCCAAGAAGACAGTTCGCAGTTCGTGATCGTTCTTTCCCTCGCCTCGCGTTGACCCCTCTGCCAGGCACGAGTCTGACACGATTTGCTCGCCGGCTATCGCAGCCGCAGTGCCGCACAAGCCCCCAGACCCCACCTCCGTCAAACAGAAATAAGCCCCTTTTCCCCAGTAGTGGAGTGGAGGTCCCTTGCCCCAGCCCCTTCACACCACAAGTGCACAGGCGCCTCACTTTCAAATCGAGCTGTTCTGAAAATCTCAACTGTTCGTCTGTTCGACAAAGCGACATAGACGTAGCAAACAACATTTAACCCTTTACTTATAATATCAATTCTCTACTTTTTCAATTCAATTACGACAACTTGTGGTGTGAATCGTTAGAGTTATTTCTCAACGAATTAGGTCCGAACCACGGAATAATTTTCTTTTTTAAAAACATTAAGAAATAAATTGCAAAAAGAGAGAATTCGTTATGTCAGATTCCCAGACTTTTTTTCGAGTTTATTTTCCGAACTACTTTTTATTCCAAACTTTTCCAGGGTAGCCACAAAAATTTAATTTTGTTTTTCTCTGACTTTTCCCTTATTTTCAGACAAAATTTTAATTTCTTCCCTGATTTTAAAGAATATTCTGATTCACTCTTAAAATTATTAGATACTCAAAAAAAAAAAAATGTTAATACATTTATTAGCGAATTTCTTTAATTGTCAAGTTATTCGAAAATATCAAGAACTTCTTTTATAAATAAATATTTAATCGTTATTATTTTTTCATAGTAGTTAAGATTTTCAAAAATTTCAAATTCAAACTTTATGAAATTCAAATTCAACAACTTATAATAATTAAAAATGACCGAGTGATAAAATCATTATTTTATATTATATTATAAGAATACTGTTACTGTAACTTCTTTAAAATTATTTTCATCCATTTAATTCCATTATTATTTTCTACAATTTTTAATTAACTAAAAAAAATAACTTTTTTTTTGAAAAAATTCTTTTTGAGAATATTCAAATCCATTTGTTTACAATTCAATTTTAGGAAATTTTGATTCTATTCGGAAATTATTAAATTTAATAAATATTTGAAACTAAAAAACCTTTTGGAATAGTCAGGAAGGAAACATTCATTTGTTGTTATTTTTAGTGTACATTTACATTTGACGTGCGACCTTACAAAAATTTTACTGACATTTTATGTCAATGACATTTATTTTATCTAATAAAATTTATTTACATAAACTTTAGTGAAATTATAAATTTTGGCTGTGTTTTAAAGTATAAAATTAAATGAAAAATAAAATATGATTCAAATAATCGTAGTTGGAAGTTGAATCTGAGATTAAAATTAAAAGTTTCAAATTTATATTGTTTACAATTTGGAAAAAATGGAAATTTAGATTTTTAACTGAATTTAATCTTAATTAAAAATAACATGAATTATAGAATTCAAAAGATTAAAAATTTTAACAATTTAAATTCAGAGTCAACGATGATTTTAATCGTTGAAAATTTTTAAACAATAAAATTGATTGAATCAAAAATTATTAGAATTATAAATTTTATTAAAATTTTTGAAAATAATTGAATTTCGGAGAAAAATTGTAATATTTATAAAAATAATTGAAATTTTGACGAGAATTTAAAAAAATTTTTGAACATAATATGCAAATAAATTGAAGCACGTATGTTAATTAAATTAACAACCAATACTCACGTTACTTTCTAATAATCAAGTCGAGGGATAAAAGTAAATTTTCAGTTTAATTCTCGACAAAAGAGATTTAAATATTTGAAGAAGAATCCGTAATATGTACGACCCCTGAACTGTTTTTATGTTTTAGACTCGGATTTGAATAACGAGTGTCAATAGATGTATAAATATATATAGTAAAAATAGTTACGCTCCACCGTGAAACCTCCTTCACCCACGCACAGCTAAAATAGTATAGGTATGATAAGACCGCAATCCTTGAAACAATAATCTAAACTTCGTGCATGTATTATGAAGACATTAGCTCATAATGCAAACACAGGTGCAGTGATAAAATTTCTCTCATACCTATACAAGAAAACTGCGTATTTATTTCGTCGACACTGAAAATTCATGGAAAAATATTTCTTCAAAAATATTCATTTCATGAAGATCTGAATATTTTATTTCTATACTAAATTAGATCAAGCATTACTGGAATTTCTAATAATACACCGCGTATATACATATATATATGTATACAATTGTTGACATCGAATTCTAACCTCAAATATCGGAACTAAACAAGGAGAGAATTTTTTTGAATTTTTCGAAAAAATAAAGATAAAAACTGCTAATTATCAAATAAACTTTACGCTAAATTGTACATTTTATTGATATTTAGTTATTTTTATCAAATTTCACTTACCCTATCAAGCAATTTTGTTTTTAAAAAATAAAATCAAGAACACAAGTGAACACAATAGCACAACAAACAATTTTTTCGTCTGTAGGGCTGCCAACTGGTCGGCAATATATAAATCTAGTAACACTGCGGAATGCGGATTCCACTAGAATTAAGGTTGGGTCACAGTTCACTGTGTGGTTGCTGCTTGACGGTTGTCATGGTAACGCAACAAGAGTGAGGAGAAAGTGAATTCGATCTTAATTTACTGTCTCTCTTGTTTGCGTGCGTTACCATGACGACCTAAAGGCAGAAAGAGTATATGCAAAACTGTGATCGTACCCTAAGGGAAAGAAAATTTGTATTTGCAATTTGCAACACTTGCAAACATTTTAAATGGAAAGAAAATACCGAAAATACGTTATTAAATGGTTGGATAAATTGGATAAATTTTATAACAATGTTTTTTTATAATTAATAATGGAATATTAGAATTTAATTGTTGGAAACTAAGATGTAGATTTTTACATATTTTCTGGTGCAATGACGGCAAAGGTATAAATTATATATTTTTATTGTTTACAATGTTTACAAAACATTCTAAACATAACCTATATATTTATTGACAGTTATTTTAAAATATAAATTTAATATATAATATTTATAATCTATACTATTCCAGTAATCTGTTCGTAATTTCAGTTGCTATTTGCTTTCTCGTTTCCTAAATTTTTAAATAATTATTTTTCATTTTAAATATATAAAATTTTGAAATTAATGTACTGAAAATCATTGATTTCTTGTAAAGTATATTTATAAAAATGTTTGTAAATAATTTATTAAATAAAATTGTATTGAAAATAATTTAATTCTTGACAAGATTTATATTAAAATTCTTGAAAATAATTATAGTGAGGGAGAATAAAACGAAAACATTCGGACAAATAGTTTTTAAAATTAGTTTACTCCAACGTTTCGAAATCTAAATGATTTCCTCTTCAGGGAGTCTATAAAAATATAAAATAATTGAATTGTTTTTAAGAATTTACTTCAATATTTTAATTGCTTTCTCCGAAAATTTCAATTATTTTTAAAATCTTGGAAAAATTCTTCGAGAAAATTCAATTATTTTACAAAATAATTAAATTTTTCCCAGGAGTTCAATTATTTAAAAAACTTTTAATAAAATTCAATTCAAGAATTCAAATATTTTCATAAATAATGAAATTTTCGCTGGAGTTAAATTATTTTAAATACAATTTTAATTGAATTCCAGGGAAAATTAAATTATTTTTAAATTCTTCGAAAGAATTTAATAATATCAATAAAAAATAGAAAATTTTTCACAGGAATTCAATTATTTTAAATACAATTTTAATAAAATTCTTTTTAAAAATTTTCCAAAAATTATAAATTATAAAATTATATTTTTAAAATTAATTGAATTGTTTAGAATCATTTTTTACCAGAATCGTTGAAAATAATTGAATTTGAATAATATTTTTAAAAATAATTGAATTGTTTCGAAGAATTTTTACCAGAGTTGTTGAAAATAATTGAATTTTTATTTAAAATCTTGAAAATAATTGAATTTAAATAATATATTTATAAATATAATTGAATTGTATCGTAGAATTTTTACCAGAATTGTTGAAAATAATTAGATTTTTATTAAAAATCTCTTGAAAATAATTAAATTTAAATAATATTTTTAAAATTAATTGAATTGTTTAGAATAATTTTTTACCAGAATCGTTGAAAATAATTGAATTTGAATAATATTTTCAAAAATAATTGAATTATTTCGAAGAATTTTTTACCAGAGTTGTTGAAAATAATTGAATTTTTATTTAAAATCTTGAAAATAATTGAATTTAAATAATATTTTAAAATTTAATTGAATTGTTTAGAATCATTTTTTACCAGAATCGTTGAAAATAATTGAATTTGAATAATATTTTTAAAAATAATTGAATTGTTTCGAAGAATTTTTTACCAGAATTGTTGAAATAATTTAATTTTTATTAAAAATCTTGAAAATATTTGAATTTAAATAATATTTTTAAAAATAATTGAATTGTTTCAAAGAATTTTTTACCAGAATTGTTGAAAATAATTGAATTTCAATAATGTTTTATTGTTTCTGAAAATAATTGAATTCCCTTTGAAGAAAATTGATGTTTATTTGAAAATTTATTATAATAAAATACTGGAAAAAATGATTTATTTTCAATTAAATTTTACAAAATTTCAAATGTTTAAAATATTTTTAATTGTATATTTTAAAAATTTAATTAGAAAAATTAGAAAAGTCGAAAAAGTCTCAATTTTTTAATATAAGTCGAAAAAGTCGTGAAAGTCGTAATAATAATTTAATAATAATTTTTTTAAGAAAATATAATTTATAATCTTTTATTTACAGATCCTCCACTGTAAATATTACTCACCGAATAAATCGTTGTAATGAAATTCATAAACTAAAAACAATATGAATTACTTAGAAGAAATTTTACTATCGAGCAAAAATCCTCAATTACGAGAACTTCAGATTTCATCGTCGACTGAAGAGAGTACACAATCACATAGTGAAGATGAAA